TCAGGGTAAGTCAATGGCTTTTCGGTAGCTTTTTTGATAGAAAATGTAGAACTTTAGACGGGAAGATTCCCACAGACGGCGCCAATCTGTTGACCTCGCGAATTGGACCTCCCACATGGCCAACTGATAACTACTCCACGTGATCCTCCTTGCGCACAATCAACGCACAGTCAGATGTACACTTTCGGAACCAGCGGGGTGGTGGCGGCTGCATACACTCCGACGATCAAGTTAGTATTCAGTGATCGGAACAGTGCCTGGGTTATGCAAGAGAGTGGGGAAGAGAATATATATTTTCTTGTTATGGAGAGCTAAGCTCTAAGAATTTTATTACATTTACCTCTTGTCAAACATTGGGTATTTATAGGTGAGGAGAACCGTTGGATGTGGGACGCGTGTTTGCATCTGACGGTGTGAGACGTCTACTCATAGGCGTCAATCAGCCGCGTCTATAGAGCGAGCGGGTAATAACTTCTCCTGAGTTGAGTTGACATAAAGTTGATACGTCACATCAATTAGACTCATGGAGACGTCAAATCAATTAAGCTTTGGGGGCAGAGAGGATCTTGACACAGATCTCTTTCTGAAAATGGCAGCGGATCCGCGGAAGGAGAACCTCGGAGTGCATTGCGCTTCGGTGTCAAGGACACTTCGGTCGGTTCAGTAGAATTGTTTTGTGCCTCACAGCGCGTTAGCACATTGGTGGTGAAGTCACTTCGGAACCACTTCGGATTGGTGGTGGACACCTCGTATGATGCAGTGATAGACTTTCCGAAGTGGTTCAGCTAGGGACGTAACAGTAGCTATGCTAAAATGTCCAAACTGAAGTTCTATAATGTTGTGATTATGATCTTGACTGAGGAGATTCAAAGACACAAATTCAAGATTGAGTCAAGAAATAACATGTCAAACTCCAGGAATACGTATAACTCCAATAAATTCAAGATTGTTGGAGTTGTGGCAAGATTGAACAATGCAAAAATAAGTGTACTGAGACCGTGAAAGAAAAGGGAGAACAAGACAGAGGCCAATGCACTGACAAAAGGATGTGACGATGCTTTGACCTGCTATTTCGAGAGCACGACACATCCTTGGGTAATATAAAGTCAAGAGCATCTTTTAGGGATGCCTCGAGCAGATAACCTTTTGTGAGTTATATACCAATTGATCTCAGACATATATATCAAGGAGATGACTAGCCTTACGACATGGTCGGCAAGGGAGAAATGCATATCAAACTAAATGGATCTATGAGGAAATTGAAGGACATAAGATTGAGAAAAACTTGTTCTCTGTTAGCTATCAAATGAATGTTACGTCTCTGCAAGGTTACCGGACATGCAATGACTATCGGAGGAGGTAACAAGGTTGGAACTCTTTATATGACTATGGCTAATTAACAGTCTAACAAGTTGCATGGAGGATCCGATAATAATGTATTATTTGATAGGTTTTACTTTAAAAAAATATAATGAAAAATTAGTAATATACGGCAAATAAAACAATCAACGATATAAACATTCAATAAACTATAAATGTAATGATTTATTTAGCCCCTATTTGATAGAAATTAAAATCAAGATTTTTAATGCAAGTTAAAGTCAGCAATTAATTTTAATCATACATTTCATGGGATCCACAACTTTTCAAGCACTCATTTTATCAACTTCTATCAAAATTTAATAAAAAATTAATTTTAATCTTCACCAAATGGGACTTAATAGGTGCTTCAAATATTTAGACAAAATGTCAATTATTTTTTATCAAGATACTCAATCTAAAAGTATTGAAATATTTATAATTTCATCAATCTTTCAATTAATAACGAAAAATAAATTATATGCAAGGCTTGAAAAAATACGTGGAATGCACATTGACCATGAGCTAGATATTAAAGTGGGTAAATATATCCATCATTCCATTGTGTTTGATAACTAATAATTAAAGTGTCAAGTTTAGCCAGTGAATTTCACACTATGATTTAAGTTGAGGACCAAAACTTCAGGGGTCAATTTGGTTTGGTTGATTGCATGAAGTTCAATTAGTTTTTTTTTTTTTTTTTTTTATAATTGTTAGTTTTAAAACTAATTACACCACCCATTATAGTGTGCCACCTAAACAGGATGCTTAGTATAAACTAAGTACTGATATTTAGGATATCATGAATTTCACACTATATTTTCGAGCACAAAAATATTTTAAGGGAAATTGTAAAGTCCCGAAAATTTTCATGGCCTTTAGTGGAGTTTGCTTGCAACTATAGTATCCACTATAAGCATAGCCCCACATGAAGCTTTTTACTGCAGAAAGTGCAGATCCCATATCCATTGAGATGAAGTTGGAGAGAATAGAATTTTGGGTCTTGAAATTATTGAATGAACAATTGAGGCGATTGACAAGATTTGAGCCAGAATAAAGACATATGACCGATAGGAAAGTTATGTCGATGGAAAAAGAAAAGATTTGGAATTTTGTGTGGATGACAAAGTTTTTTGAAAGTAGCACCCATGAAGGGTGTACTAAGATTCGGTAAGAAGGGAAAGGTGAGACCATAATTTATTGGACCTTTTGAAATTTTCGGAAGGATTGGTGTTGTGGTTATTGACTTACCTTACCACCTGAACTTGCAGCAGTGCATAACGTGTTCCATATTTCAATACTCAGAAAATATGTTCATGATCCCAATCATGTGATGAGTTATTAGGCATTAGAGGTAAAAAAATACTTATCATATGAAGAGATCCCGATAATGATTTTGGACAGAAAAATACGTCAACTCAGAAACAAGAAAGTTCCTCTAGTTAAGGTCCAATGGTGAAATCATGGACTTAACGAATCAACTTGGGAAAAGGAAGATAAGCTTAGAACCAAGTATCCAGAACTCTTCAATTAGCTAAGGTAAATTTTAGAGGATGAAAATATTTTAAGGAGAGGAGATTGTAAAGTCTCGAAAATTTTCATAAAATAGAATTAATTTTTTATTTCAATATTTTGAAAAGTTATGGATTAAAGTAATATATAGCAAATTAAAATTTTATTTGGGTCAAATAATTAGATACTGACCGAATAATGATAATTATATGAATATTGCGCTCGTTGGATAGGTCATAATTAATCATACATATTAGGCTCGAGAAGAAGTTAATTTGATTAAGCGAATCCCAAGTTATCGAAGTCGAAAGATATGATGCTAAATTGTTTTTAATTAAGTTAAATTAAGGAATTTAGAATTTAAGGGTAACACGTGTAGAGCAAGTTTATTGATAAATTATTAATTTATTTTTATAAATAAAAATAGAATATATCACATGTTTTAAAGAGAGAGGGATTGAAATACAAATTTGTTAATATATTCACACATTTCTAATTTTGAGATTCTCTATCCTCCCCTCACAATTTAACCACCTCTATGAAACCTCAACACATCCACTTGCCATGCTATTTCTCCCACTTACCCAACTAATATGAAAGATTCCCTCAACTCCTTTATTTATCTTACATCACTTTACATTTCTTCATTTCATAACTTATCCTCCTATATTTAATTACTCATTTTTCCTTCCATATTTTGGTTTATCAAAACAAGCACTTCACAGAAGCATTTAAGCACATTTTTTAGCATTCTTCATTTGGTTGAAGTGCATTTAAAAGTTAAGGTAGGATACGACGTACAAGTGATTTGTCCCGTTTAATTTTTGTGATTTCATATTGATAAATATTTTGTTAATATATATATATATATATATGCCCATCTGGTACAAATGATATGACATGATATGAGCTCTTATCAATTATAAAGATATGATATGATATGATGATATGATTTATTTTGATATATGAATAATAAATATTATTCAGAATGGTACTAATATTTGTATTCTACTGAGTATTCCCCATACTCACCCTTTTCTCCCTACTTTACAGGTTAGTACGGTTGGTGTCGGAGCTCGAGGTTCGATGATGTGGTTGTGTCTTGTTTCATGGGACAAAAATCTAGAACTTAAGCACGTAATTTGTTTCTTTTAGTTTGGTAGCAATAGACATTTATGTTTAATTAAATTCTTGAACATGTTCAGTAAACCGTAGTTGTCTACGGTTTTCATGTTCCTTTAAATTTTAAGTTGTGCTTTTGAATTTTCGTTGGAATTAATATATGGTATGATATAAATTATTAAAAGACCATGCATGTGAGTTTAACATCTGTAGAATCCATTGTTATTCCATCAATTTTATAAATGGAATAAATGACCATATATTCAATTACGTATAAATGAATTTGGTGGCGACTTAAATTTTATTAAAAATTTGGGTCGTTACGGATCATGACTATATATATATAGTCGTGATCTCCTAAGCACCGATACTTAATTTATGCTAATCACCTAGTTACATGACACACTATAATATGTGGTGAAAGATAATAGTTAGTTTTAAAACTAATTACACAATCCATTATAGTGTGCTACATAAGCAGGGTGCTTAGCATAAGCTAAGCACATCGAGTGATGCGGCACACTACAATAGATGGTAAAAGATAATTGTTTGTTTTAAAACTAATTACACCACCCATTATAGTATGCCACCTAAACAGAGATATATATCGAAAATGATCTCCTAAACACCGAGTGATGTGGCACACTACAATAGGTGATAAAAGATAATTGTTAGTTTTAAAACTAATTACACCATTCATTATAGTGTGCCACCTAAACAGTGTGTTTAGGAAATCATTTCGTATATATATGTTTCTTGTCCCTTTTAAGTATATGGTGTTCTACAAGAGGTAAAGCGCCTCTTTCTAAGTTCTCTCTCTCTCTTCCCCCCCCCCCGAGTGACTGTTTGGTCACTGAAATTTTTTTTAAAAATAAAATAAAATTTCTCCCCTTCTACTATAACCCCCCCCCCCCCCCCCCCCCCCCCCCCACACAAAACCACCACAACTCCAAGTAAATAAACGATAGATTGACACCAATTAATAGAAGAAAATTACATATAGGATATATCTTATAATCAAAAAAATTTATTGTCTTTCCACAAGAAAAATCTTGGGAACTTACAGAATTACAAATCAAAATGATTCTATGCTACCGCCCACTCTAATCAGGCCATCAAAGGCCTTTACAAAGAGGCACAAAGAATTATTCAACCACATTAAAATTGAGGAAATTAAGGACCGTGTAATAAATTAATGTCTTCTTTTTGTTCTTCACATATCTGGTGGATACATACCCAACTTATTAAAGACTTGTGGACATTTTGGAAGAGCCTCTTTCTTGAAGAATCCAAGAGGATTTATCGTGCGTGTAGTACCATTTACCGTGTTGAGTATAAATTTCACTGAAGGCTTTACCCATCCTTCCGTAGGAATCTCATCACAATCTTTTCTGCTACTTGAAAGCAATGTGATTTCGCAAAATTCGTTCTTATGATCACGCTCAATGAGCATGCTATAGAGTCCTTCAGCTCTTGTGTAGCCTACCTCGGTAAATGTTATTTTTCCATTCTCCCCATCTTTGCACTGGAGGCGTACACCGGCACCTACAAGTCGAGATTTAAGTTATAGTTCGAGTTGTATCTATTATGATCCAATTCCTCAATAACAAATACACCACCATAAAGAAGATGCATGAATGCACAACAAAGGAGTTAGTATAAACATTCATTTAATTGGATTATTGAGATATGGTTTATGTTGTTATTCGTGCATGATGAAACTGTAAGATAAGAAAGCCCAGCAACGATTGAAGCATCAAATTCACCTTTTGCCCAAATTTCAGAAAATGTCGGGATGACAAATTCAAAGTAAGAGTCTTCCTTTTTTTTTTTCTTTTTCTTTTTTTATAACATGGAAAAGTAAGATAAAATACGAGTAGCATTTTTTATGGATTATAATTATATACCTGGAATGAACTCGCTAAATTCAGTAATGAATCGAGCACGACATGTGTCGCAATAAACTTGTCCTTGAACATGAAATTGAGAAATTGGAGGTTGAGGAACGTCTTCTGAGTAGACAACGCTAGGGAGGGACAAGAAGCATAAAGCTAAAACAAAGAGAATTGAAACTTGAATAAGCCTTGCCATAATTTTTTTGGGTATTTTTGCTTAGGAAGATCAAAAGAAAATTTGTTTGTGTTTTGTACCAACTCAACATTCTTATTTATAGGGAGTTTAGTTGGTTAATATTCTGTTAACAGTTATTTCTATGTGGTCAAATAAGTATCTATTCATTCTTTTGTGGATCTTAATTTAGAATCTTGAAACTGTTTCCTATATTTCAAGAATGTGTATTTTCTAATTTTTTTTAATTATTTTGAAAATTTTAAAGAAATTTTAACTAGAAATCATGAAAAATTATATTAATTCAACTAAGAATGACAATAAATTGCATGATGTGACAAACTTAAATTTTATTTCGTTAACTAAAAATGCCATTAAATTCTAGCCCAATAAAAGTGTACTACTATAATAAAAAGAGGAAATTACATTGGGTGTCAAAATTCCACTTTGCATTATCAAAAATGTCACATTTTTAAAACCATATCAAAAATGTCATTTTCGGACTGTTTTGCCCCTCTGAATAATTTTAATTCCTTATATATCCTTCATGAAATGTGATATGACTAATCCATTAAAAATAGTAGAAGAACCTATGACATGTCAGGGTTTGGGGTTTATTCAATGTAGAAAACATAAAATGAAAAAAAGGAGGAGGCGAAACGAGAAGAAAGAAACCGACTCTCACTCTCACACACTCCTTTTCTCTCACGCACTCCCCTCTCTCACTGGAATTGCCCCCCTCCCACCCGGTGACGACCACCGTGACGCCCACCGCCGACGATTTTTTTCAAAGATTTGAGGTATCTACTATAGATTTCTGTAGGAGAGGGAGTGAAACCAACGACATCATCGGCTTGTCGACCCGAAGAAGAACCCTCTCTCCGCCATCCACAAAAAGACCATCTCCAGCCGCCTTCGCAAATACGGTATGTATATGTGTATATTTGTAGTATGGGTAAATGTGTGTGTTTTTGGTCTATGTATTGTTATTGTTAATTTAGGTTTGGATCTTTGACTGTAATTTCAAGCTAGTCAACACCCTCATTGTTGTGTATCTGTAATCTACATGAGCCCCTTTTCGTTTCTGGGGCACTGTTACTGATTTTAAACTTTTGATTTTTGGTTTTAAAGAGTTCCATGGGTGTATAAAATTCTGGGTAATTAAAAGAAGGTTCTTTCTATTTTGCAAATAAATGCTAATGCATCTTTGGAGAAATAATTTAAAGTTTTAAGTTTTCGCTATGTTTCCTTGTTCTCTTGCATATCTTTGGAGAAATAATTTTATGTGTTGATTAAGTAGAGTAGAAAATCCTCCGCCTCTTCCACTTTCAAAACTCAGTCCGGTTGTTCAGTTGGGTTTCGAAAGTCTCTTCGAGAAAAGGGAAAATTACCAAACTGTGTCCCGAGCTCTTGGATTATGCTTGAATTTAATGTAGATAATACTTCACCCCTGCAACGGCAACAGATTGTTGTAGATGACACAAAGGTAGATTATTATTTATTTCTTCTAATAGTACATTCATCTACACTCTAATGTCTATACACAATGAAATTTAATAAGCTAATTAATATTGTTTTTGTCCTCCTAGAAGTCCTTTTAGAAGAAAGAGATGTCGAACTTAGTTGTTCTAATTTCATGTATTGATGTCTAAAACCATTCTTAATGTTTTTGGTTTTTGTAAAACTTTATTCTTTCTTGCAGTATCGTTTATGGAATTGGCCGACTTGTACGTTCATTAATGTAAAATGAAAGAAGCTTGTGCGCAAATTAATTAGCAACAACTTATATTTAGTAACTTTTGGTTTCTGAAGTAATATTAAATTTAGTGGGAGAGATGATGCTCTTTGAAGCATTCATGAATCAAGAAAGTGGATACAATTATAGGAAGATAAAAAACATGTTTATTTTAGAAGGAACTGGGGATCTTATATTGGGAAATCTGTTAAAAACCAAACCATGTCGATATGATAAAGCCAACAAGGTATTCATGATTTGGCTCTTCTATGCTGTTGTCTTTAATTATATAAGTATTCGTTTGGCATAAAAATAGCTTCCTGTCAACATGAATCCCATTCAGTTTCTTCCCATTTATAGTTTCAACCTTTTTGTTTCCTCTCATATTTGCATTCACCTTCAAGCTTCTTCAACTATCACTCTGCATGCCTATCCTTTGACATGAAGTGTTAACCTTCCTACATGCATTTCCTTTTAAATCACTTATTACCGAAGTGTCGTTCCTGACAATTCGCAATAGAAATTCTCGACAGATGGAATAGTCGACAGATGAACTGTCGTTCCCGACAGTTAGGCTCAGTAATTCTCGACAGATGAGCCTCTCCACCGATGAACTGTTGGGAACGAGAGTTCATTTGTTCCCTAGTTATGCAAGTTGAATTTTGGTTCCGATAGTGCACGTAAGTTTCGCATTAAAAATACTGTTATGCTATGATGTCACGATTTTGTTCATTGATCCGTCGTTGCAACATCGTACGTGTGTTTCGCATTACTATTACTCAAACGTATGATCTCACGATTTGTATAGTGGTGCCAACATTGCATGTGTGCTTTTGCATTAACATAATTGCAAAGCTATGATCCGGACATTTGTTGATTAATTAGTCAATGCACCTTGTTCGTTGAAATGTGGTTCTATTATTTCCGTCTCGATGTGTCGTGTGTCTTCAAATACTACCATCTGATGTATTAAATTTATGTTCAACTGCAGGGGGGTGCATGAATTTTGAATATCTGGTTCCAAAGAATGCGCGGCTGAGGGCCCACATCTCACAGCGAAGCAATCTACGATACGTGAAGACAGTCCTGGAGCATTTCGATGAGTGGCAGCATACGGACTTCCGTAACTCATGCCTAGGGTTCTTATCCGAGGTTCAAGATCTCCAATTCTCAGCCCAACTAATCCAGCAGCTCGTTTTCCGCTGCATACGAACTGAAAAGGCCAGCGAAATATGGTTTAAAGTACAAGGCCACTTAGCCAGGTTTGGCCTGCAAGAGTATGCTCTCGTCACGAGTTTAATGTGTGGTCCTCTTCCAGATGACGCCGCGATGGACCGAGTTCTACAAAAGAAGAGGTTGAAGGATAAATACTTCAAATCAACGGAGAGGATTTCGTGTGGCGAACTTGAGAAGCCATTTCTCCGGCCGTCGACGCCCCGAGCAGATCGGTACAAGCTCGGGCTTGCTCTAATCATCGAAGGAGTGTTCAATGCTCCGGATAGCCATGCCGATATTGAACTTCCACGCTGTCGATCGTGGACGATCTGGACATGTTCTATTCCTACCCGTGGGGTAGAGTATCATACATTCGTCTAATAAGGGGCTTCCGATGCAGACTGGGCCGAAAATTTGTAGATGCCACAAATAAGAAGAAGAAGGCGGTTACTTATACAGTTCATGGCTTCCCCATTGCCATGCAGGTACTACACACAAATTTTGTACAACGTATTCATTATTTCATCAGAAATGTATTGTCATTGGTTCCTTTAATGTTCAACTCACAGTTACAATCTGTTGTAACAGATCTGGGCATTCGAGGCAATACTAGAAATTGGGGATAGGTTTGCTTGGCGATTGGGTCATCAATCCCCACGGCTTCTGAGTTGGACGTGTACCAGATAGCCGCAACACCGGACATATGATGCATTTTTCAAGAACATTAAGGTATTGGATTGCGTTTCATGCATGCGATCTGTATGTGTCGTTACTCGTTACATTTTCGGTGATATTAATTTATTTTATGTTGCAGCTGCACGTGTCCCCGACGCTTCGTCCCACCGAAGCCGAGCTTGGACAACCATGTATCTCCACCCTCCTGCCGTTTGAAGACCGTACTGTACCTGTGTTGGACGAGGTTGCTAGGGACATTATCCCTGCACAGCTTCACCCAAATCCTTTGCCCAGTGGGGGAAATGTTGGAAACTCAAGGGGGGAGTGCACAATGGTTTCCAGTGGAGGAGGCTCCGAGGACGATGATGAGTCGAGGGACAGTGAGGACGAGGGAGCCCGTGAGGAGACCAGAGGTGATCAGAGTGGAGACAGCAATGGAGAGGCCTCGGACGAGGGGAACAGTGAGGATGACCACACTCGTACACCGCAGACTGGGACATATTCCTCTCCCCCCATGCACAGACGTACTTCTCCCATTCATGCACCATCCACATCTCATGTACGACAAGGTCAAACCTCTAGTGCGAGCCTCACGAGAGACGAGGTGGAGGAACTATTGCTTGATCAAAGAACGCTCATCGAAATTCGCCCGCGCACAGTGAAGCTTGAGATCATGCAGCACGTCACCGATGAATTTGTGAAGGTCAGGGACTTCATTTCTACCCTCGTCCCCCCAGCTCCCTCTAGAAGTACTCTACCCACGGCTCAGGCGGCAAACGAGCCTACAGTTTTAGCTACTTCAGTGCATGGTATGTGTACTACATTTAAATTGTTATCTACTATATGTTACTTATGTTTGCTGACATTGAGTACACATGGGATTTGTGACTTAGACGGAAATGGAGGGGACACCGACCCTGTCCCGGAATGTGAGGAATCGCAAGGTATGTGCATCAATTACTATGGATACATTTTCATGTCTTCTTTACTATTTGATACTAGCAAATACGTAACCCCCTTACGTTTTTGCAATTGTTGTTTTTGTAGTGCATGGAAGAGGCTTCTCCCCGTTGCCGGTCAATCATGACGAAGATGTGGACAAGGAAATGTAAGAGCGGAACGGTACGTATCTTAAGTAACGCATAATATTTTATTTCGTTCATAGGTCTCACCTCATTCGGAAGTGTGTATAGTGTAAACCCTGAACGACACGCGATTTCTAATATTGGGTATGTTGGTACTCATGCATAGGTGGAACCGGCATGGAATCTGAACCAGCACTGAATGGTGACGACGGCGACGTAGCTTCCGGTGGTTCGGGGAAATGTGAGGACGACGGTGTTGCGTCCCCTACTGGCGTAGCCAAGGCAGACGGTACGTACACTACGATGGATTACTTCTATTTCACTGCTTAAAGTAACGCGTAATATTTGGATCATTTACTTACGTATG